GGAAACCAAGCGGAGGCTTGGGGACAGCTTTGCAGAACACCTACGCCGGTTCGCACTCAACAACTGCACCTCCCAGTCGCGAACCATTTCAACTCCCCCTCCCATTCCGCAGACGACAGGTCCAACCCTGGCCTCCTGCAGTGCCACAACGAGCTACCCGAAGGTTGCAGAAACAGCAACTCATATTCCGCTTGGGAACCCTGCAGCCCGATGGTATCAATGTGGACTTCACAAGCTTCAAAATCTCCCCTCCCCCTACCGCATCCCAAAACCAGCCCAGCTCGTCCCCGCCTCCCTAACCTGTCCTTCCTCCCACCTATCCCCTCCTCCCACCTCAAGCCCCACCCCCATCTCCTACCTACTAACCTCATCCCACCCCCTTGACCTGTCCATCCTCCCTGGACTGACCTATCTCCTCCTACCTCCCCACCTACACTTACCTTTACTTGCTCCATCCCCGCCTCTTTGACCTGTCTGTCTCCTCTCCACCTATCTTCTCCCCGCCTCCCCCTCTCTCCCTATTTATTTCAGAACCCCCTTCCCCTCCCCCATTTCTGAAGAAGGGTCTAGGCCCGAAACGTCAGCCTTCCTGCTCCTCTGATGCTGCCTGGCCTGCTGTGTTCATCCAGCTCTACACCTTGTTAACTGTGAAATCTCAATCATGTGAATACTCAAGGAACAGACTCTCAATTTCCCAAGACAATAAATTGAAAGAAACAGTTATTTCAAACTTACAGATGTGAAGAAGGCAATTTTCTCTGGTGTTTGAGCACTGTAACGTGATGACGTCAGGATAGATCTTTCAGATTGAGAGATAGTAAGAACTGCTGATGCTGGAGTCAGAGATAACACAGTGTGGAGTTGGAGGAACACAGGTCAGGCTGCATCAGAGGAGCAGGAAAGCTGACGTTTCGTGAAGGGTCCCGAATGAAACATCAGCTTACTTGCTCCTTTGATGCTGCCTGACCTGCTGTGATCTTTCAGATTGTGTTGAATATAAACTGAATGAGGCAAGCTACTGTATCTTAATTTCTTTTAAACATTAGCCTTCTCTTCCATTGTTAAAAGCAAAAGTGCAGCATTGTGCTTTGTCTTTCAAACACAAGTCTCAAATAAAGTGAAAAGAAAATATGACCTATCAAGGTAGGTTTCAGTCTCAAATCTGATTTGCCCAGGAATTAAATCGGGGAGATTTTTTTTTAAAATTAAAAATATGCATTAACACATGAAAATGAAAAAAATGATCTGAGAAATTCAAGAACTTTTACATAAAGATATACGCTATTGTTTTCAAATTTGTGTCGGCTCTACATACTCTAAAAGAAATAGCTACAGAATCTCTGGCTACATCTGTGGGGAGGGAACACTTCTCACCACAGTTGCTGCCAGATCTGTTGAGTTTCTCCAGCAATTTCTGTTTTTGTTTCAGAAATAATTCTGGGCTCCCTGCTATAGGAAAGATTTTGTTAAACTTGAAAGGGTCCAGAAAACTTTTAAAAGGATGTTGCCAGGACTGGAGGGTTTGAGCTATAGGGAGAGGCTGAATGAGCTCGTTTTTTTTTCCCTGGAGCATTGGAGGCTGAGGGGTGACCTTATAGAGGTTTATAAAATCATGAGGGGCATGGCTAAGGTAAATAGCCAAGGTCTTTTTCCCAGGGTACGGGAGTCCAAAACTAGGAGGGCACAGGTTTAAGATGAGAGGAGAAAGTTCAAAAAGGATCTGAGCAACAACTTTTTCCACATACAGGGTGGTGAGTGTATGGAATGAGTTGGCAGAGGTGGTGAGTGCAATTATAACATTCAAAAGATATCTGGATGGATACATGAATAAGAAGCACTGGGATATGGGCCAAATGGGAGTAGATCAGTTCAGGATATCTGGTCTGCATGGACGAGTTGGACTGAAGGGTCTGGTTCCATGCTGTACAACTATGACTAACTATTAAACATGCTGTAAATACATAACAGATCACAAAAATGGAGTTTAAAGGAACTTATTTTGTAATACTATTATTTTAAAACAAAACTGTTTCTTGTTACGGTTCTTTGGATACAAAAGACAGAATACAAAAAGCTGTTAGTGTTCAAAGTTGATACAAGGGAAATTATTCGTTTTTCTCTTTGATCAAGGAATCTAAGAACTGTGGGAACAGTGCAAGCCAGTAGAGTTGAAGTAAATCAGCCACCGTTACATTGAACAAGGGACAAATTCATCAAAGCACAAGGTTGACTCTTCCTCCCATTTTCCATGTGATTTTGACTGTCTCCAGGTGTACTTTCCAGTATTTTAAAATATTTCTGCTTCAACCATAATAACATGCTTTCCACTTTAACCCCAAAAGTCTAATTCCAACTGTGGCTCCCTCGTCCACAATGACAACTTATTTCCATATTCTTTAGTGTATTTACACTACCATTTCAACCCAGAATCAAAAGATAGTGATTGGAGTTTTGCACAAATACTTAACAGAAGAATAAGATATGTTATCAGGGCCCAATCTTCCTGCTTCTGACAGGAAGTGTCATTTAGCTTTGCAACTGATGTGCAAGTGGATTTGTGCTGTACTCATAGTAACTCTCAAACAGAAGCAACTTGTACAGATACCAGTCAGGAGATTAAGCCTTTAAAATATTGGCCCACAACATATTTGAGTTACACTTACAACAAAAAGTTACAAGCTAATGACCCAATGTAAGAACACACTGTGTTTCCTCTTCTTAGAAACATAATAACAGGCTATTCAGCCCATTATACTTTTTCTGACCGAGAGATGAAAAAATCCTGGCCCACTGATCCACCTTGGGATTACCATCCTTAGTACCACTCCATAAGGAAAACTCTATCCATCAATCAAGTTTTTTCAACTGATCCCCAGGCAATAATAATGTTTCTTCAGACAGCAAGTGAGCTGAGAGAAGAGGCTTCAGATTTGTTATGGGGTCGTATTTTCTCGTAACGTGAACGGATAAAGCAAAAATCATG